ACGGTTTTTTAACGCTACGAAAAAATGCCCGATGGACGTCTCAGTGTCTGTTACACAGACATTCGTCGACGAGGTGGTGGGGGGGGGTTACGACGTGTTCACTTATGTTCACTAGTTGTTGTTGAACGCAGTTGCATGCTGCTTAATCGGGCGTCCCTTCTGACTTTACCTTGTTGGCGATCTAATTATTTATTAAATAATGTTGTGTTGTAGTTGTTTTGTCATTTTCGTATGAGGCTAACGGAGCATAAACAGCGCAGTAACCCAGATGTGTGATGCCTCACCATTAGAAATCATGTCAGATTCATATTAGGCCGTTATTGTAAGTTCAGTGTTACGGCACAGAATATCACAGTGTTGCAGTAAAGTCATCATTGTCATCAGCAGCCTTTGTCGACCCATTGCTCGATGAAGGTTTCTCCAGCACTTGAGCGTAGAATTTTGTTTTTTGCCATTTTCATCCATGTTCATCCAGCGTATTTCTTCAGCTCATCGTACGGTCAATCTGAAGGTCTTCTCAGGTACCCTTTACTCACGTCCTAGAGCCAAGTTTGATGTCTCTTTGGATTAGGGACGGTCAGCTTTTCTTACGGTGTGCGCTGCTAATAGTAACTTTAAAGGTTTTACTCGGCCAGTGACATCGCACACTTGTTTGTGCCCTTATCCGTTTGTTCGGTTTGCTGTCTTTTTCTTATTCCCAACATACATCTTTTGTTACTGGTTTGCGTCTCTCCAGTTTATAAATAGCTTTTAAATTTAGGATTAATGTTTCGTACCCATAATTTGACTCTGAAGCACATACTGATCGTAAAATGTTCGTTTTAAGCACAAGGGCAGTTTTGCGAAGAGGAACGTTTCCAATCTTTTAAAAATGTTCAACAGGTTGCAGGATCACGCACAAGATTTTCTTCAGGTTCACTTTTTGTCTCCTTCTTCAGTGTTGGTATCGTTCAGCTCTTGGATTTTTTATTGGAGTTTTTCTGGTGATCTTGAGAGGATCAGAATATCGTCCGCAAATTGCAGATGACTTAAGTAGTGCTAATTTATATTCAGCCCCTGATTGCTTAATAGAGTGTCATGAAAACATCTTCTAAAGCTGTTGTGAATAACCTCAGCCATTATATCTTGATTTAGAGGGCTATTTTAATTATGAAGGCGCTTCTGCTTTCGTGTAGCTTCACAGTAGCAGTTGCATTCTTGTAAGGAATTCAGTCCGAACCGATGTCGACTGAGTCAAAAGCCTTCTCACCATAGTGACGTGTAATAGTATAACTATAAATTCCTCTATGGGTGCGTAGTTAAATAAACTGTTTTGTTGTTTTCAGTATGAGT